AACTTATGCGAGCGAGACGGAGAGGCGGAGACGGGAGAACTGATGGAAGAAACGAGTTCGTTTATACGCAAGAAAACCTTCCAAGTGACGAGAGTTACTACGAAGTTCACATTCTTGATCCTATCATACGACAGACATGAGATGTCCACGCTGCCGATTTCCCCGACTCTGACACGCGACCTTGATAGAGGCCAGAACTGTAGAGTCGACAATACATGCCTCGATTACAGTATGAGTACGCTGTGTAGTTGGGGCTGCTGCACTAGGTCTACCTCATGCGATTTGTGCTGTGGAAGAATATGTGATACGGGAACTATTGTACAGGTTGAAACGTGTAGTGCAACTCATAGGTATTATGTATTGATATTGCCGTATTCGGACATTTCTATACCGAAAATTTTTAACTCTGTTGTAGACATCGACTCCAAAGCGGAACTACATCGTTCGCGACGTCTGCAGAACCTGACGAAAGCAGAAAGTGTCTGGTTTCCAGGCTAAGCGAATAGCTGTGGGTCTCTCGAGAGGTGACAGGAACTGAACATGCCATCGAAGGGCACGGGGATTCATGCACGCACAGCTCTGACTTGGCCTGGGCGCGAGCAAGGCGTGGACAAGGCGTGAGCGAAGTACACCAGCAGCATCTGTGGTTACATTTCATTACCTTACCGCCATCACCGATTATGCTCATGACATCTCAAGCACTGCTCTGCTCTCCAGCTTCTCGCTGGTGCTATTTAGCCATGATGACTACCAGAAGACAGAAATTCCGACCCTGTTTCCAGCTCCTAGTTACGCCATGGATTCCCAGTCTGGCGGGCCTAGAGTCGGCAATAAACGTGGCCGGGATTTCGACCAAAATGGAACAAAAAGGAATGCGAAGAACACGAGGCGTGACAGACTTTGGAATCGTGGTGGAAAGTGCAGCCAAGGAAACAGAATTTTCCTTAATGAAGGAGGAAACGGAAATAATGAGAGTGGGACTGGAGAGAGGGATGGGATCGAAGGATGCAGTCATGAAGGAGAGAAAGGAGTCGGTGGAATTAGAGACGGGGTAGAGAACGGGAACGTTGAAAATAAAAATGTAGCAGGAAAAGGGACGGAAAAGTCAGAGCCAAGTGGCCCGAGCTTTTGGACGTTCATGCCGAATGACAGACCACTCACGAATCAGTTTCAGATGAGAAGATTCGTCCTCGCAATGGCAGCTCACGATGCTTCAGGTACTAGTAGATTAATAAGTACGAGAGTTGGATGTTTCAAGGAGCACCGGCTTCTAACACATGTCCGTCCTTGCAGATTTGGTCATTGACCTCGCGAATGACAAGTATTTCGGCAGGAAGAAGCTGATCAGTATCTGTCAGGAAGCTGTTGCATGCGGTACTTCAGATTCAGTGGCAGCTGGAAACAATTCCAACAGGGTTTCCTTCCAGAGTGTTTTGTTGCCATTGTTACAAGTGATTTGCCAGGTACCCATTTGTGATTCTGCTCGTATTTATCTTATATTCGGTAGTTCCTGAATGTCCACCTTGGTTTATGTGTCGTTGCATTTTTCAGCCTGAGTTTTGCAACAACCCTGCTTCGAGCAAGGTTAACACCACCCTCGCAAGTATGGTTGAAGTGGAAGGGTTTCAAGAGTACCTCGTCAACTGCATGAGGCTCCTCACTCAACGGGGAGCAATCAGTGACCCTGAGAAAAAAGACCACGGCGTGAAGGACTGGGACACAGCATTTCAGATTATCATCAACTTCTTTCACGTGACCATGGACCGTTTCCACTCTTTGTTCGACGCCACACAAGCCAGCGCTGACATGCAGGAGCTTGAATCCGTGCTTGAGAAATGGCAGATTGAGAAGCCAGTGTCTGATGGAAAGTACCATAGCCTCAACTCAGCCATTCGGAGGCTGAGGAAGTCACTTGATAGGCGCAGTAATTGCGAAAGCCAGAGACAGAGCAGGGAGATTTGCCAGACGCCAGTTGAAGTCTCCTACGAGCCAGGTCTGTCATGGAACAAGAAAAATGGAGCTCGACTTTTATATGTCTGTTTTTTATTATCTAAAAATTGTTGTGTTTCGCTGTTGCAGTTCATCAGCTTCTGGCCAAGCAAGCTGTGGATGGTCCGGGTGAACTCAGCTTAGCTGGCCACCCAAGGCATGATAACGACCATGCAGACATTTCAGCAGTAAGATGCTATGATATGATGTACCAAGTGATAAGAAATTTCATGATGTTTTTGTTCGCACATTGATACGGATGTGTTCTCCTAACATCTCCTTATTTCATATGCAGATTTCCGTGGCTCCAACAATGAAAGAAGTTCTTTGCAATGTCTCTCCCTATCTTCCCCGCAATAATGTGGAGGAGCGTCATCACCTCCCTGCTGACTCTGTAGGTCGCCATGTCGACATCCAGTTCCGCCTTCTCAGGCACGATCTGGTTGCTCCTCTCTGGAATAAGGCTTTCATTTTGTTGGAAAGCTTGAAACATGAAAATGCCATTTGCAGAGGCAGCAGCACCAGAAGGGAAGGGGCCATGATGGGTCTCGTGAAGGCAGACCGAAGCTTGGTCAAGGGTTTGGCTGTCAACATGAAAGGAATGGCGGGATTCTCCTCAGAGGAGATGGACATGTACATGCTTCAGGATGTCCGGGTCCTGTCAATCAATGCAGATAAGAGGAATGGCGTCTATTTCCTGATCGATTTCATAGAGCCACCGATTTCTCAAGGTCGACGTCCTCGTAGCAGGTACATGCAAATACTCGTGTGGATTTCATTCTGTCATCGAGTTACTGTACACTGATAACCTGTTGGATTCATTACAGGATGGAGTTTTGGGAGCACACCAAGAGGCTGCAAAACGGTTCCCTGGTTTGCTTGTGGATTCAGGACATCCTTCAAGATAACAGGGAAGTTCCAGGATGCCAAAAGCTCATCTTCGCCACCATAACAGCTCGAGATATGCGGAGGCTAGACAATCGAAGGCCTCAGATTGGAGTCCAGCCTTGTCAGAAACATCAATTCTGTCCAGAACTGTTGGAGCTGATTTCCCAGGATGGCTCTGCTAACAAGCGAGTCTTTATGCTGGAAGCCCACGGGAGTTTTTTTGCATATGAGCCGATTCTGAAGGCACTGCAGAACATCACTGAAGCATCATTTCCATTCTCTGAATACATCTGTGATGCACCTGATGGCGCTTCTGCCAGCATGACGACCAAGCTTCCAGCATATGTCGAAGACGGCGTGCTGTAAGTGATTGAAAGGAAACACAGCAATATAGAGAGTTGGGGTGCAGAGGAAATTGCTTCTTTCAAAGAGTTGCATTCGAGACATAGCAATGCAGCTCATGTTCCTCCTCTCTTTTGCAGCTACGACCTGAGTTTGCTGGTTCAGGTTCAGACCAAGGCCTCGCCTTCGCAGCAAGAAGTTTCTCCAGACGATTGGTTTTCCATCATGAACGTTCCAATTTCTGACCCTGACGAATTTCCAATTGATGTTCTCATGCGTTGCACATCGCTGGACCACCCTCAATGCACGGCTCTCCAAGCTGGCTTGACTCAAGAGTTCGCCCTGATCCAAGGGCCTCCGGGAACCGGCAAGGTGGGCATTTTTGGAAGACGCCAATTGAGTGCACCATTACCACAACTGAAGCTTGTACAGGAGCTTGCACAGGTCCTTCTTTTGCTAACGTTCTCCCGATCAAATGCAGACATTTGTTGGGATCAAGCTCGTGGAAGTTCTGCTGAAGAACGCCTTTGCGGGTGCGGTGGATGGCGGCCTGAAGGATAATCCCATGGGTCCAATTCTCTGTGTTTGCTTCACCAATCATGCTCTCGACCAGTTCCTGGAGGGGTTGATTGCGAGTGGCATAAAGAATGTAAGCATATACTTGATCTCCCTTTGCTGATGTCTTTGGTTAGCATGCTGTTTTTGGTTAGATAGCTCTATGCTCCCCAATCCAGTTCTTGCCCTGCAACGTGCAAAGGACTGCGAAGAGCTGAGGCTGCCATATGGCGGTAATTCACATGACTTGCAGGTGGTTCGAGTTGGTGGTAGAAGCAGGTCCGGTCTCTGCAGAAGTACAACCTCTTCAACATCATCCAAGGGTATTCTCCCCACCACAGCCAGAGTAAGCTTCACAACTTTCAAGGTCATCGATGTTCTTGACCGAGCTGAGGTTTCTCTACTTAAAACCCGCGGGCCAAGAAAGCCCAAATTGGTTCAACCTTCCTATCTTCAGTTTATTGTGATCCTGGCACCCCAAATCTAGGTCAATTGCATTGCTCGCCCCAACCGACCTTCCTAGCGTTGAACTTTTTGGCCCGCGGGCTTTAACTGTTGGTTCTGTGTGCATATGTGCAGGCTACAGAAGCTCAAGGTTTTCGGTTCACAGCAGGATGAGTGAAGTTGAGAGAGTGATTGCAACCTACAGCGAGGCCTTGCGGTTCAAAAAGGATGATTTTCAGGCCATGTCATGGGGCTTGATCTCCACCCATTTGATGGCGAACCACCCAGTATTCTTTGAAGCGTTTCAAAGCCCTGTGGAGGTCGACATTGATCATTCGAAGGTGATTGATGCTCGGTCGTCTTTGTGTTTGTGGTATATCGTATCTTTTCAGTCTGTGTGACAGATACCATCTTTGATTTGGCAGCACGTGGCACCCGATTATTGGAACGAGTGGAAGCGGGGCTGCACAAAGGAAGAAGTTGTTCTTAGAAGCAAAGGACTCATGGAGGCGATGATGAAGCGTCCACGGGGAGTTGAGATCGCAAGAGTAAGCCAAGAGGCATCAACCACGCAGATTGCTCTGGCAGTGGACGCGTCGAGTGACCTTGAGATCGCAAGAGAAAGCCAAGAAGCATCAACCACGGAGATTGCACTGGCAGTTGATGCGTTGCGTGACCAAGCATTGGGGGACCTGCTGCAAGTGGTAGATCCTGGGCGACCAGCTTAAAGGAGAGACTGAAGCTCCTGAGGCATTGGTTGGAGGAGCTCAAGGCGACTGCCAATGCTGCCATTGAAGCAGAGGTTGGCAATCATGCGAAGTACGTGAGAAAATGCAGACACATGTTCATGGGCATTGAGATGAGAGGGGCGATGTGATATGGATGGGCACCAGAATTGGCTGTGATAAAGATGTGTGACTGTGCAATGCAATGCATGCAGGAAGGTGGCGGAGAGTCGGGAGCTCATGGATATTGAGGACCTGCAGGTGCTGAGGAGGGCGCAGGTGGTGGGCATGACCACGTCCGGGGTGGCCAAGATGCAGCGCCTCATCACGGCGCTCGGCCCGCGAGTCATCATTGTGGAGGAGGCTGCTGAGGTGCTGGAGGCCCACATTCTGACCTCGCTCACCCCGCAGACACAGCACGTCATACTTATAGGTACAACATCCTGCGTTGCCTTGTCTACTGTTCACTTACTTTGGTATTTGAGCTGCTAATATTTGAGCTTTTATTGGTTGGTAGTGTCATAGGCATGGCCACATTGGGTGTTCAAGGTGAAGATGCTCCAGAATGGTGGTGAAAAATAACATTGAAACTTTCTCCACCTCTGGTTTTGTCCCTCAACTCCATTCTGATTGGCAGGCGACCACCTGCAACTGCGGCCCAAGGTGGAGGTGTACGAACTCAGCAAGGACTCTCACAAGGGCTTCGACTTGGATGTCTCGCTTTTCGAACGCCTCGCCCTCTCCAAGCAAATCCCTGTCTACACCCTCGCAACGCAGCACCGCATGCGTCCGGAAATCGCCGACCTCATCCGCAGCACCATCTACCCAAAGCTCACAGACCATCCATCCGTCCAAAGGTTCCCCGACGTTCGCGGCATGGCCACAAATTTGCACTTCTGGGACCATGACAGCCCGGAGAAGGGCTGTGATAACCTGAACGAGTCGAAGTCTAAGACTAACGAGGGAGAGGTGGACATGGTAGTGAGGTTGGCGACGTATCTGCTGCAGCAGGGGTATGCAGGAGGGGAGATCACCATCCTCACGCCCTATGTGGGCCAGCTGCTGAAGCTACGCCAGGCGCTTTCTCGTGTGGTCAATGTGAGGCTGGGGGAGAGTGATGCTGAGGTGGTGGAGGAGGCTGAGGAGAAGGCTGCAGCTAGGGACGGTGGATCTCGAGGACGTGATGGCAGGAGCAAGGGAGACTCGTCACACAACTCATGGTCGCAGAGCAAGGGGCCGGGACCTGGGGGGAACCCTCTTGTGGCATCCACGGCAGATCTGAAAGATGAAGTGCGGTTGGCAACGGTTGACAAGTAAGTCCTTAAAGTTGTGTTTTTTTACTTGCTCAAATGCAGTAACGAGCTACATTAGATTGAAGGTTCTTGAGGAAGAGTTCGTAAGATTGTTTTTTTGCTCCGTTCTGGTTGTGTTATTCTGCAGTTTCCAGGGCGAGGAGAGTACTGTAATCATCATCTCACTCGTGCGGAACAATGGTGACGGCAAGATTGGGTTCCTCAAGAGCCCCAACCGCACCAACGTGCTGCTCTCCCGCGCCAAGCATGGCATGTACATCATTGGTGAGTGTGAGCTTGTCGATTGATAGCAGAGGGTTGTGAATTACACACATGCCTGCTGGGTGGTGGTACATACGTACATGCACACATGCGGCACCAACGTGCTGCTCTCCCGCGCCAAGCATGGTATGTACATCATCGGTGAGTCATAGGCGTTTGCATGGATACTGGATTGGGGATGGTCATATGCATTTTGGGTGCTGCACTCATGTGCTGCTCTCCTGTGTGAGTCAATTTTTTTTTTGTGAATGGCTGATGCTTTAGTGCACTCCCCAGTTTCCCTACCCCATTTTCCACTGTGCGACTCTAAACACATGTTAATTTTCTGCTCTCTGACTGCGAACCACCCTAAAGCTGCTGGAACTAAGCATGTTAGAATTCTCACACGCCTGATGCTCTTGTGCGCTTCCCAATCTTCTTGCCCATTTTCCACCCTTGAAACAGGTAATGCCAGCACAATGAAAGCTGACCCCAAGTCTGTGCTTTGGCCAAAGGTCCTGAACATCCTGCAGGGGAAAGACCACATTCAGAAGTTCATTCCGATGCAATGCGTGAACCACCCTGACACCATCACGCACATCGAGAGTGCGAGCGACTTCAAGGAGAAGGCGAGTGAGGGCGGATGCTCCCAGATGTGCGGCTTCAGACTTGTGCCTTGTGGACACACCTGTCCCCGCAGGTAAGAATCGCTCTGTGGATATCACTACACTTCTTTTCATTTGATGCTGTTATGTTTAGAAGCTACCATGCGTATGATAGTGTTAGCTACAGGTGCTGCATGAACAATGGCCATGTTTACTTGTAGTGCTTCCTTGTAGTGCTTACACCCCTTCATCAAGTGGAGTTGGAGCAGCTTAAAAACTTTTTTGCTGCAACAGGTGCCATGGGGACGACAGGGCACACACCAAGACATTTTGTCACAAGGAGTGCAACCGCATTCGGCCGCTGGACAAGTGCCCGCACCAGCACCCATGCCCTAAGCAGTGTGGGGAAGATTGTGGTGACTGCAAGGTGTTGGTCAAATCAGTCACACTACCTTGTGGGCATAAGACAGTCAACGCTCCGTGCTTCCAAGCTCAACGACCAGCTTTGATTCCTTGCTCATGAGTTCCTTTCTTTTCTCCTGACGCATCATGTAGGAGCAGTATGACACGTGTGCTGCTGGCTTTCTTATTCACGCTATCCGTGATATTGCTGAATTTGCAGCTGCCTGGACTTACGACTGGACACACTAACATATTTCGATGCTGAATCTGCATGAGTCATGTACATGCTGTCTTTCCGTATCACCAAGCTGGATTCCTGTGGTCGTGTGTCGCTTGCTGCATCGCACTGTAATAGTCGATCAACGTTCATACCTGCTCGGCTGGTCAGATCTCCAATCGGCATGTGCGCTCCCATGTACACACATTCCTACCCTATGTCAGGTCACCGGTTGAAGTCACCATGCCGCTGTGCGGCCACAAGCAGACAGTCAAGTGCAGTGATGCCGCTACCACGCAGAACAACCCCAAGCTGTGCATGGCTCGGTGTGGTGTAGTTCTCCCAGATTCCTGCGGGCATGAATGCAGTCATCGCTGTGGTGAATGCATCATCGCCCCAGATGACATACCCAAGCAGGAGCAGCAGGCCGCTAACCAGCAGCAGCAGCAGCAGCAGCAGCAGGATCAGCAGCAGCAGCAGGAACAGCAGCAGCAGCAGCAGCAGCAGCAGCAGAAGCTGGAACAGCAGCAGCCGGAGCAGCAGCAGCAGCAGCAGCATCAGCAGCAGCGACAGAAAGGAGCGGGCATAAAAGTATCAGCATCAAGTGTTCGAAAGAAGCACAAGGTGTCCATCCTTCCGTGCAAGAGACCCCACCCATGCGGCCACCTATGTTCCGAGATCTGTCACGTTGGCAAGGACTGCAAACCGTGCCGTAAAAAGTGCCTCGTATCCTGCCAGCACAGCTCCTGCCCCCAGTCCTGCTACCGAACCTGTGCCCCATGTGCCGAGCCTTGCGGCTGGTACTGCAAGCACCAGGGTTCGTGCTCTCTTCCCTGTGGAGCCCCCTGTGACCGCCTCCCCTGCGACAAACGCTGTCAGAAAAAACTCAGATGCGGCCACCAGTGCCCCTCCTTGTGCGGGGAAAAGTGCCCCTCTACAGAGTTCTGCACTGCTCCCAACTGTGGTCCCAAGCCAAAAAGGGAGTCCATAGTGGATCTTGTGACGCTGGAGACGTTAGGGGAGGTGAATCCAGATGAGAATCCCATTCTCGTGCTCGCATGTGGGCATGCTTACACTGTAGAGACCCTTGATGGCCATCTTGGGCTGGATGAGGTTTATCTGCAGTCAAAACCACTGGGCGGTGCTGATGGTGGTGCATCCAGTACGGGCACAATTGGTTCTGGTGCTGCTGGGGCTGCTTCTAGTGGGGGTGGTGCTTCTTGTGGAGGTGGGGCTGTTGGAGGTGGGTCTGCAGGCAAGTGGTTGGCAGTGCTGCCGTTTGAGAACGGCAATTTCTCAGATCTCAAGGGCTGCCCTGATTGTCGCCATCCAATCACAGGGCTCCGACGATACGGCAGGATAGTCAACAAGGCTTTATTGGACCAATCAGAGCGCAAGTTTGTCATTGAGTGTTCCGCTGACCAGGAGTCAGCCCAACGGAGACTGTCTCGGCTTAGCCGTGCTGTGGCTAGGTGCACTGGGGATGCTCCACCAAATCACCTAGACGAATTGCGAAAGTCTGTGACAGGTTTCATGCGTGAAGCAGAGCGTCTGCGTGCTGCATCCTTGAATCCACCCACATGGAAGACTTATCAGGCGTCCATAGCTGCTCTTCAGAGGAAGAATGCGCTGCTGGGAGGCCAGGCATGGGGTGGTGGACGAGGTGTGGCGAGTGGTGATGGTTTTCCTGCAGCAGCAGCAGCGTTGGAGGAGGAATGCCGTCTGCTCTACGTTCCCCAGCCAGACGCACGCCCTCCTTGCGAGTCACTCATCATTTTGGCAAAGTGCCATGAACTTCTCATGACCCTGAACCTCCTCCACTTGCGGGACCACCTGAGGAATCTTCGAAATTCAACAGGGCAGAGAAGTGCCCCGACCACAGGGCATTTTTACCAGTGCGTTCGTGAGTGCAGAATAACTGTGCATGCGTGCCTGAACAATGCGCGTGAGTATCTTGTGGCGGCCATGGATTGGGCTGGGAATTGCAAGGCGCACCAGCTGGAGGCGAGGGCACGATTGCAGCTGGTTGATGTGTACCGTGCATTTGTGGAAGGGATGATGGCAGAGCGCCTGCTGTGGAGCTCCATTATTGATCTGGTAAGAGAAGCAATTTCAGTATCCAGCCTTCACCTTTTTTACAACTGTGCCTAACATCCTAATCTCTGAGCATGGGATTCTCTCCCCTGACATTTATTGGTATAGATGTCATATGAAGCACCTGTTAACTAGCTGTATTTGTTTCTTTGCAGAATGGATCTAAGGCGCAACAGTTGGAATATCTTGAGAAGGCCAAGTTCGAGTGCCGAATTGTGGCATATCATGACCTGGCATCGGTGAGAAACAATGCCCTTGGGCAACGAGCCAGGAAAATATTGCAGGAAGAGTTACCTGCTCTGGAAACATCTGTCCGGGACGAACCTAGGTACTTTGGCTTGACAGAGCGGGAAAAGGATGAGGTGTACAGGGCAATGGGCTTTGGGGCAGGCCATTGGTACCGGTGCCGAAATGGGCACGTGTATGTTGTAGGGGAGTGTGGCGGTGCAATGCAGGAGTCTCGCTGTCCTGAGTGTGGAGAGGTCGTGGGTGGAAGTGGTCATCAGCTTCGAGAAGGGAACACTTCCGCAGCTGAATTCTTCAGTGGTCTCAATCAGAGATCGCTTAGGGTTTTTGTTACTCTCTAGGGGCTCAAATTTTTAGTGTGCCTCTTTTCGGGGCTCAAGTTTGTACCATGTAGTTTCTTCCTGACAATTCTATTTCTTACTCGTCTATCCCCAATGTGCAGGATTCCCGTCTTGTTCACAAGATTAGGAAGGAAAACACCCCTAATACCATACTAGTTCTAAGCAATACAGTCCACTCTTGCCTTTTAGGTGTTACAAATCGTAACCTTTAAGTCACGTCATCCTTGTCCAAACCATGTTCTGGAATCCTTGGCACACCGTCTCATTTGACGTCAGCAACCCGCCTACTGATTGGCTGTTGCCGATCCCGCTTGGAAGACAGCTTCGAAGTCCAAAAACCGGGTAACTCAAAGATCGCAACTGAAGAAGTCCATAAGGGAAGAGCTGGTGCAATTCTCTGCTGCGAAAGAATAACTGGCGGAGTTGACCAACCTGGCAGCCCCTCGTTTTCATTCAAACCTTCGCGAATTCGCTAGCAGGCGCCACACCAGGCTGCAGATAAGTGCAGCATATGCTCTCCACACATGCTGGACTTGTGCTACCACCCCTATCCCATGCCATACGTTCCCAAGGCAACTGTGGTGACAACACCCTTGTAAGCTGAACTTGGCTGAAGTTGTGGTGGTGTGAAAGAGAAGGTTCTCCACAACCCTAACTTACGTGTCCTGGTTCGCAATAACCCTTAGGTTCGCTAGCCGTCTCTGACGTTAGTCTTTACAACTGAGCTTGTATTCCGTGAATTCTTAGGAAAAAATCCATTCAACATCGCCTTGGTTCGGCTTTTCAAACCTGTGGTGTTGGTGGATTTTTATTAGCATTTGGTCGCGGAGATAAGATGTTTGGGTCAGGGAAGCTGCCAGATGTTCACTTGCTCATCTCGTCATGGCTGGAGAAAGGGGAGGGGAAGGACCGCACAGTCCGAGATGAAGCATACGAGGCTTTAGCTGGAGCGTACGCCTTCGTCGGCATGGTGGCTCTGGTAAATGATCGTCCGTCGTTTTCTTGTTTTTGAAACGCACGTATATTGTGTTCTTCAGAATAGATAGAACATTGCGGTGATTAGATCGGCTAAGAAGTTTCCGAATGTCGTTGAGAGTGTCATGGAGAGTGCACGCGGCTCTTATTTATTGGACCTTCAGCTTCAAGGCTTTCAGTAGTTCAAGTATTTTGGAGGTCGCTTCCACTCGTCGTTGTTGGTTCATGTCGTCGTTTGTTTTCAACGTTGTTCACTTGTCCTCATTCACATCCACGGATATCGTCGGCTCACTACCAGTCTCCATCCACGACTATCGCCGGCTCTGTGAATTGCGAATCGCATTGACTGATGGGACTCGTCTGACAATTAGCCTTACCCCCCTAGCTCGCTGACATTGGATGCTCCTTTAGATCTTGTTTTTGTTCTCACCACAATGGCTTCTGTTTTCGTTTTTACCCGTTTATTGCATTTACATCATTTTCTCGGTTTCAGATCCAGCTCATTCGCATTCAGCGCAGAGTGCCGGAGTACGGCTGGACCACGCAAAAGGTCTTCCACCTCCTCAACTTCGTCGTCAATGCCTGTACGTCGCCGTCGTTGTCGTCTTGGTCGTCGTTGTCGTTACCGATGTGGTTACCACCTCCTATTGCATGTACGCTGTATGGATGTTCGTTCAACGCCTCCACGGTTGGACCACGCAGAAGGTCTTCCACCTCCTCACCTTCGTCGTCAATGCCTGTACGTCGCCGTCGTCGCCGTCGTCGTCGTCGTTGTCGTCGTTATCGTTATGTGGTTACCACCCGGTAATGCGTGTATGGATGTTCATCAAACGCCTCTACGGCTGGACGACGCAGAAGGTCTTCCACCTTCTCAACTTCCTCATGCCTGTACGCTGTCGTCGATTTCTCCGTTGTTACAGCTTTCACCTATGCCCTCGCAATGCATGTGTCCGTTATCGTTATCTACTTCACGCCTAGACGGCTGCACCTCTCAGAAGGCCTTCCACAGACTAACTCACCCTACCCGATGGGTATCTTGCACGGGGTATGATTCACACGTGCTATAACTCACACTCGCTTCAGCTCTCCCTCCCGCTCTCATTCGCGCGCACGCATTCTCACGCTTATGATTACCGTTTTGTACCGATTTTTCACTGTTTCCCGACATTCTCGCTTTCCCTTCGCAGTGCGAGCCGTGGTGTTTTTCTTCCGCGAGGAGGTGGAGGTTCTAAGCAAGGGCGACAACCATGTGAGTCGCGATTCCCTGATTGATGTGCCCATGTCACTATGACTTTATGATCCCGGCCCACCCACACGCAGCTGTTTACCTCTTATCCGTTTGGCTCTCGATTTCGTTTTCCTCTCGCCCGTTTGCCTTTCCTTAGTATCATCGATCAAACCTTCCCCTCCCCCTTTCCCCTTCCCTTCCACCCGCCTGAAACCCTCATGACTGTTTTCTTGTGCCTCTCCGCGCCAGGTATTCGCACACGTGCTTCTGGACCTCCCCGGTCTTCTCTTCTTCACGACCTATACCCTGCTCGTTCTCTTCTGGGCCGAGATTTACCATCAGGTGAACATCCGACTATACGGTTGATCGATTTCTCTCTCTCTCTCTCTCTCTCCTCTCGCTC